CACTATATATTTTTTCCCTGATTGTAGCACACCTACCGCTCGGCCATGGAGCCCCTCCTCCGCACGGGCGGACCCTTTTTGCCAGGCCTGCCTCCGCGCGTGCAGGCGGCCTCTGTGCGGCCCAATTCTATTTGTGAAGTACTCCTATGTTTGATTTATGTGGTGCAACGCACGTGCATAATTAATAGTTTTGTTTAACATAGCTTGATATTGGAGGGGGGGGGGGGGGGGGGGGATCGCCCCACTTCTCCCCTTCCTCCTCCCCTTCTTCTCTTCCTACTACAATACATCACAAATTTTTTTTTAAAAAACAAAAGTTAGAAAAATTTATGTATAGAAATACAATATATAAAAAATTTGAATTCAAATTCAAATTGAATTTAAATTCAAATTTGAATCGGGTATGTAAACTTTTGATTTATAAACTTTGGATCTATAAACTTTAGATGTATAGAAATACTATATATAGAAAATATTTGAATTCAAATTCAAATTTGAATCGGATATAATTCAAATTCAAATTTGAATCGGGTATATAAACTTTTGACTTATAAACTTTAGGTCTATAAACTTTAGGTGTATAAACTTTAGATGTATAGAAATACTATATATAAAAAAATATTTGAATTCAAATTCAAATTTAAATCGGATATATAAACTTTTGGTCTCTAAACTTTAAATGTGTAAACTTTAGGTGTATAAAATTTAGATGTATAAATTTACTAAAATAGAAAAGTAATGCGTTGCCAAAAAAGGAAACCAGGTGGAGGGCTGGAGGGGGAGAATCTGAAGGGCGATCGCTCGCCAAGTAGCATTTCCGTGATATACATCAATGATGCTTAATAAGCGTTAATTGTCTTTAATCATGTTGTTGATATGGCTGAGTGTTGAGCCTGCAATGCGTCGTGAACCAACAGAGAGCCAAGCTGCAATGAGCATGCACAGGCATGCATGCAGCTAAATTGAGCTAATTAATTAACCGTAACCGAGCTCAGCGAAACGACGGCGTGCGGCGGCCAATCTCGGCGACAGAGCGACGGCCACGGCTTCACGGATGCGGCCGCGCGTCTGCGGGCGGGTACGGTGACCATATAACCCATTGGAGGCGGGGTTTTCGTATGGTCGATCGGCGAGCCAAACGAGCTCGAGCGGTGAGGCGAAGCAGACCACCGGCAATGGCGGCCAGAGGTGAGGCGTTCTCCCCTCGCGCGCTACGTACGTACGCTGGCTTTCTGCCAATTTGGCTTTCGGTACTCGGAATTCTTGTATCTGCTGCTACCTGCAGTAGCCTCAGTACTCAGTATACTAATACTACGACATAGGAGTATTAATTAATTGTATATATCTTCCCTGTGTAGAGTTCATTGTTCAATGAGAAAATGGCTGTGTTTAGATCCAAAGTTTGGATCCAAACTTCAGTCCTTTTCCATCACATCAACCTGTCATACACACACAACTTTTTAGTCACAACATCTCCAATTTCAACCAAAATTTAAACTTTGCGCTGAACTAAACACAGCCAATATGCAGTGAAAATCACATATGTTGTGGAAGTATGAAAACTGTCTTTAGATTGGAAATGGACGCTTAAGATTTGACCATATCATTGAGAGTAAAATTTTTACTATTATTGGGAGTATAATTTTTATTTTTGTTAACGTGGATAAATATCATGAGTCTGTTTTTTAATTCAATAGTAGTTTTCAGATTTTCACTACATATGTAATTTGCAATACATATTTTCTGAGTTACTCCATCAACAAATTTTAAAAAAATATGCTACATCCATCCTGAAATGTAACAATTTTTGACATATGGATAAACGTATGTTTGGATATATAGTAAGAAATTATTATATTTTGGAATAGATTTAATAGTAACCATTTGCAGAGTTTTTCCTTTTTCATGTTGATGTTGCTGCTCAGAACAAGAAAAAGCTAGCTGCCTAAGCTACCTAGGCAAACAAAATTTGTATGTCATTCCAGTTCATTTAATCCTATCTTCTTCACAGTCCTATAATAGCTGGTACTCACTCCGTCTATGATTATGAGAGATTATTCCCTATTTAGCACTAACTAAGGAAGAGGGAAAAAAAGTACATCTAAGGACATATGGGGATTAGAGATGGTGGGGGACTGGGGATATTTTATTTTTCTTTTACATCATAGTACATGTGATTTTCTTTATGTGTCTTTCATATGTGAAAGGATGAGAATAGGATTACTAATGGGTTGTACTCATCCTTTTGGGAGAAGCAAAATACTCTGTAATTTTGGCTGTGTTTAGATTCAAAGTTTGGATCCAAACTTCAGTCCTTTTCCTAATCATCAACCTGTCATACACACCCAACTTTTCAGTCACATCATCTCCAATTTCAACCAAAATCCAAACTTTGGATCTAACTAAACACAGCCTTTGGACAAATCTAATAACCAGAATCCTCTAGGGAGTAATAAATTTTATCCGTCATTCAACCATCGTTTCCATAGGTGTATTGATAGCTGGTAACCCACTCAAGTACTACTCGTACCTCCGTCTTACTTTAAATACAGTTGTAGTTTTCCGTGTCCATGTTTAACCGCCCGTTTTATTTTAAAAGATTATATTTTTTTTAGAAAAATTGTTCACACATAAAGTACTATTTATATTTTATTATCTAATAAAAAAACTAGTCATAAAAAAATTCAAATAAGACGGACGATCAAACGTTGGACATAAGCAACGTAAAACTACGGTTTTTCTGGACCGGAGGTAGTATGCAACATCAATATTGAACTACCTCCATTTCAAAATATATAATGTCGTTGATTTTTTCATAACTTTTGACAATTTATCTTATTCAAAAAATTATATAAATATTATTTATTTTGTTGTGAATTGTTTTTATCATCAAATAAAATATAATTTTAACTTATACTTTTACATATTTATATTAAATTTTTTAATAAAATGGATGGTCAAACGTCATAAAAAAAATCAACGGCACCATATATTTTAAAAAGGAGGGAGTATATGACAAAAGTAGTCCATAACTCCACATAGGTAAGGTTCACTCACATGGATTTTAACTATTACAATCTTCACAATGTACATATGCCATGTAATATTAGAGGGACAGAGAGAGAAGTAGAGATAGATATATTATTTTATTCTGTATAGGTAGTCCATATGCATATACTCCCTCCGGATTGAATATACTCCCTCCGGATTGATAATACTTGTTGTTTTAGTCAAGGGCACGGTCTCAAAAAAACTTTGACTATTATTTTTCATTATTTTTCATTATCAGCCCGGAGGGAGTAGCATATAGGTAGCTCATCCTAAGAAATATTTTAAAGACCACTTTCACAATGTATAAGTAGATTATAAAAAGATTAAGACTCACTTCTACCATATTATGGATGCACGTTATACATTTATACATCTTGTCAGTTTTCTATAAAGGCTGAACCAAAGTGGCTTTTGTCATCCATCCGTCCCTTCAATTGATTTTACATTCAACCACCCTTCCATTCTCAACAACCACTCATTTAATAAGGGCATCATAGCTTTTCTATTTTCTTCTTAGGGGTGTTTAGGTGGTGTTTGGATCCAGGGACTTAACTTTAGTCCCTATATTTAGACACTAATTTATAGTATTAAATATAGACTACTTATAAAACTAATTACATGAATGAAAGCTAATTCACGAGACAATTTTTTTAAGCCTAATTAATCCATAATTAGAGAATGTTTACTGTAGCATCACATAGGCTAATCATGGATTAATTAGGCTCAATAGATTCGTCTCGCGAATTAGTCCAAGATTATGGATGGGTTTTATTAATAGTCTACGTTTAATATTTATAATTAATTTCCAAACATCCGATGTGATAGGGACTTAAAAGTTTTAGTCCCATCTATACAGGGCCTTATATCCATAGATATAAAGTTTTGACGTGTCACATCGGGTATTATATAGAGTGTCGTATGGAGTGTTCGGACACTAATAAAAGAATTAATTACAGAATCCGTCAATAAACAACGAGACGAATTTATTAAGCCTAATTAATCCGTCACTAGCAAATATTTACTGTAGCACCATATTGTCAAATAATGGAGCAATTAGGCTTAAAAGATTCGTCTTGCAAATTAGTCACAATCTGTGCCATTAGTTAGTTTTAGCCTATATTTAATACTTTACGTAGGTATTCGAACGTACGATGTGACAGGGTGTAATTTTTTTGCGTGGGAACTAAACAGGGCCTTAATCACTAGAAAAACCCAATGTGCTTATATTTGTGAATCAGAATTGTTAAAGGCTGCGCCACTCTGACCCAAAAATTTATCAATGAGTATTTGATTGTTCCACACTACAGTATGTATCACAAGATAAATGCATGTGGATTGTTCAAGATTTTGTCATTGAGGCAAAGATATGGAATCAGCATTGGTGTGCAATAAGGATGCGGATACAATGATATTGTTGCATACGCTTGCGAGGTTGTTCAATGATTTTCATGATAGTTCAGGTTCAGGACTTCAGGTTTCTCTCGGTTTGCTTGCATATTTCTGTCACAACTCAGGATAGCTCCCAGATTTTGGATCCCTGGGTGCACTGTACTGCCTTATCTATAATCAAATGCAAGGGGTTTGAACCAACTTAGCTGATATATTCTATATGCAGGGGAGCAACAATGACGCATTTCTCACTCTGAATTTTCCATTCTCCTGTATTCAGAGTTAAAGAAAAACTTGACAAAGTTACATTTGAACATCCTGAATGGCCAGGGGTGGACTCAGTTGGAATGTATCATCTTGGTGTATTTAACTGAGTCTTAATAAAGCTTCCATTATCTAAAAAATTGAACATCCTGAATAAACTTAGTCACTTTTTCAAGAATGCTATTCAGAACACGGCCTAAAATTTTAACAAGACTAGGCGATTCACCTGGGAGCAACATAAGAATGTCGATTGAGCGTTCTTGATTGCAGGCAAATCGTTGAGAATTAACAAAAAGAGAAATTGTGTGATTGAGAACACAAACTTGACAACTGAATTTCAGTAAAACCAAGTAAGATCCTGGAGACTGAACCCCCTCCAATTTGTCAATAAGACAGTATTTACAATCCAATTACAAAATCCCAAATGTGGAGAGGAAATTGTAACCAAAACGACAAAAAAACGTTTAAATTTCAGTAGCTACTAGTTAAGGAGGAGATAAATCTACTGATGGTCCTGACTAAAATCAACTCTACTATATGCTCTGATACCTTCTGACTCTTCTACCAGTTGCTTTCTCTGCTAGAACAACCAGTAACTATTCTAGTACTTTTGTCTTGGGTAAGGGTGTTTATATGCTAACTGTATAATCTGTTCAGTCAATCGTTTATCAAGGGGCCATAGCATTGTCTTCTGTGCTTTTCCCTAGTGCAAGTTTGAGAAATGTGAGAGAATGGAATTCACAGTGCCGCCATAACGGATACATTCAAGAAATGTAGCATAGAATTACCTTTGCTGTGGAGGTGAAATCGATCCCACATGCTTTCAACAGGTTCCTCCATTTATCCTGGATCAGGAGACATCATGAGAATAATATTTGACTAGCACCATCTAACAATGAAGTTATTTTGCGTGCAATATATCACAAAGCAACAAAGCATTAGACCTTCAGATGGACAGAAGTTCGAATGGATGTGGAGAAAAAATCTCTCTTCAATTCTGTCCATCGTCCAACCCCATGCTTGGAAACACCTTGTACCAAATTTTTTACTTCTTTGATTGTCCAGTGATCATTATTTTTTCTTAGACGACATCTTTTGTCTCTAGTGGTTCCAAAGCATAGTTGTTGCTGTGAAGGGAAAAAAATAATTATAGAAGATATTGTCCATTGATGGATAATAGCATATCGAAAATCTGAACTTAAAGAGGGTACAATATAAAGCATTGAACTTCAGCAATGGAACTCTGTGAACAAAGTACATGTCTATGCCTAAAAAATATAACTTTTTCATAGAATTATAGCACAGGAAGCACTGACTTTCCTCTCTAAAGGAATGTGTCCACTTTCTTACCAATGGAAAAGCCCGTCTCGTGCGAGCACCTCGTGATGGAAATGTCTGTCTCTTGCGAGCACCTCGTGGGCCACGTTTACAACCGTCCTTTGGTATGAAATCTAAAGCAATCAATATGTTTCAATAAGTTCATGACTAATTGTATACTGATTTATATTAGTGGAGAGACCTCATTATTCATACCTATAAGATTTAGTATGGGATATGTAGGTGTTTGGACTGTTATGGAGCCTTCCGCTGCGGGTGAACAAGATTGACCTGCTAATAGAGTTCTACAGATGTGATGAGCATGTTAAAAGACTGAAAATAGACAATAGTTCCTAAACATTTTACCTGCTAACCATTTGTCCAGGTCTGCTTCATCTTGGGGCCCTTGTAACAAATGGTGGATGTCATCCTCATGTGCTGGTTGAAATATATCCTCCATCTGCAATGAAGAAATTAAACAAGGTACTGAAACTTATTTTTTATATGTATATCTGAGATGTGTACACAAAATCAAATGGATGTATCAAATAATGGTGCATAAAAAATGCAATAAAGCAAAGAAAAAAATGGTTCATCCCAGGGCTCAGGCAAAGTGTGCTTCAAATACCACCAAATACCTGATAACTTACTTCTTGATCACCCTAATAAGACATAGATTGTGTAATTTCAATTTTAGAGGTGGGGTTGTGACTGTGAACCCCTTTAACCTTTGTGAAATCATTGTCATGATTAATATTTGTGATGAACAATTGGCTTCCTACAACCTTGCTCGGTTAATCCCAAAGAAGGAAGGAATTGAGGGGATGAATTCCACACCACACATCCAAATCCTTCTCAATCCTCTTGTGGGAGGAATTAACCGAACAAGGCCCTAGTCTAGTTTAAGCATCTCCCCTATCTATAAAGCATATAGTACACATAAGGCGGTAACAAGTACATCCATGAAAAATGCATTTTTGGAAGATGCTCCTACTTTTTTTAAATAATGAATTAAAAAAATTCCAGCGTCTACATTCAAGCGGATGTAGATAGCCTTTAAAATCACAAAGGGGGACAAGAAGTACAAAACAAATGACAAGAAGTATTGAAGAGGCTCCTACTTCTTTTAGATAATGAATTAAAAAAAATTCCGGCATCTATATTCAAGCGGATGTACATAGCCTTCAAGATTACAAAGGGGGACAAGAAGTACAAAACAGATGACAGGAAATACTCCATAGGAAGATGCTCTTATGGAGTAGCATAGTGAAGGATTCAGCCTTCAAAATCACAAAGGGCGACACATGTACTGTACTAAGTAATCAGTGCAATACTGTAACTACATCATCATCATCATCATATACACACGAAATATTTCCAGTTCATTCTTGAAAGACTACCCATTTCAACAAACCAACAAATTGCTTCAACATCTGAGCAGAACATAGATATATATGTTCCAATTGCTTCTTTCACTAAAAAAACACACAAACATTTGTACTACAGAGATATCAAGACAAAAACTTTTTGCAACATCCACCACAGCGTTTTACTGCCAAGAAAACAAAACAAGATCAAGCGAAGCAGAAAAAGGGGGCTCTTGCCTGGCTTAGATCATCGTCAGAAAGAAAGCTCCCGTCTAGAAGATCTGGCAAGAAGATCGTCGACGCCGCCGGACTCCTCCTGACGCCGCCGCCGCCACCGTCCGCCGGAAAGATCGCCGGCGCCGCCGCCTCCAGCTCCATCGCTTCCCACTCCGGCTCTCCCTCCTCCAAACCCTTCCTCCATCCACAAGCCGCCGCTACCGCCTTCTCCATGGCCCAGCTGATGCAGAGCTCCCCTGCACTGCGAAAGAAAAGAAAAAGAAAGCTGAACTGAATAAAAACGCAGCTTTTTTTTTTTCACCGGGATAACAAGAACAGCCCACATTCATCATTCCGAAGCAGAAAAACCCAAATCTTCTCCACCTCTCTCCACGAGTAGAAACGAGATGAGCAAAACCAGGTAGAAACCATAAAAGAAAGAAAGCAGGAAGAAAGAAACACAACAATCACCTCACCTCACCTCACTGGAGCGATCCTTCACCGCGCGCGCGCCCCGCCTGTGCGATTGGCCGCGCAGATCGCCGAGGAGACCGGAAGAGCGGAGAGCGGCGGCGGCGGAGGGGATGGGGAGGCGCGGCGGAGGGAGGGAGGCGAAGAAGACGAGAGAGAAAGAGAGAGAGCGTGTTTACGCGAGCAAATGACGTTTTATAGTTTTAAGGGAGGGAGGAAGGAAGGACGGAGGTTCGGACATCCGGACACCACAGTCCACAACACCCCCCGGATCTTCTCCATCAGGCCATTTTAAATCCAAGACACTAAACATATGTTTAGTTTTCAAGAAATTAGTACTTCCTCCGGTTTCATTTTAATTGACGCTTTGGACAATGACACGCTCTATAAGATATACCTTTAGCCTTATTTTTTTATTATAATATATACAATAAATAAATGCATGTTTACTTTTATTACAGTGTTTTAAAAGACAAATCTATATATGTTTTTCTATTTTTTTAAACTAAATATTTTTAAAGTTATTGATGGTCAAAGTTATAAAAATTTAACCTCAATCTTGTCCAAAATGTCAATTAATATAGAACTAGAGGGAGTACTAGACACTACTCTTCCAATGCAAACACCACTATTCCATACTTAAATTTAATGCTACGTATCTCACATGATGTTTTGGATGTTGTGTAGAAACCATGTCTCATACAAGACACGGTTTCCTTCTCTTTCCTCATTTATTCACTTGCCACATTATTTTTCATCCTAGGTGGCAGCTTATTTAATGCTATGGACATTATCCAAGTCATTGGGTTGGGAATGGCCTCATCAACTGGAACAAGGCATTGTTTAGGGGCCGGCTAAGGAGTGATCGATCCCCATCCACCCCTATACACTCCTCTCCCCCCTTCCTTCTCCCTTTCTTCTCTTACTACTACACCATAATTTTTTTAAAAAATAAAAAAAACAAAGTTGAAAAAAATTATGTATAGAAATACTATATATAAAAAAAATTTAAATTCAAATTTAAATTTGAAACGGGTATATAAACTTTTGACTTATAAACTTTGGTCTATAAACTAATATTTGAATTCAAATTCAAATTTGAATCGGGTATGTAAACTTTTAACTTATAAACTTTGAGTCTATAAACTTTAGATGTATAGAAATACTATATATAAAAAATATTTGAATTCAAATTCAAAATTGAATCGGATATAATTCAAATTCAAATTAGAATCGGGTATGTAAACTTTTGACTTATAAACTTTGGGTCTATAAACTTTAAGTGTATAAACTTTAGATGTATGGAAATACTATATATAAAAAATATTTGAATTCAAATTCAAATTTGAATCGGATATAATTCAAATTCAAATTAGAATTGGGTATGTAAACTTTTGACTTATAAACTTTGGGTCTATAAACTTTAGGTGTATAAACTTTAGATGTATAGAAATACTATATATAAAAAATATTTGAATTCAAATTCAAATTTGAACCGGATATAATTCAAATTCAAATTTGAATCGGGTATATAAACTTTTGACTTATAAACTTTAGGTCTATAAACTTTAGATGTATAGAAATACTATATATAAAAATATTTGAATTCAAATTCAAATTTAAATCGGATATATAAACTTTTGATTTATAAACTTCAGGTCTCTAAACTTTAGATGTGTAAACTTGAGGTGTACAAACTTTAAGTACATAAATTTACTAAAATAGAAAAAGTAATGTGGTGCCAAAAAAGGAAACCAGGTGGAGGGAGAGGGGATCTGAATCTGATCGCTAGGGGCGATCAATCGCCGCTTAGCAATCTCGCATTGTTTAGGCCTTGTCTAGTTTCCATTTTTTTTTTACCAAAAACTTCACATCGAATCTTTGAACACATGCATGGAACATTAAATATAGATAAAATGAAAAACTAATTGCACAGTTTGCATGGAAATCGCGAAACGAATCTTTTGAGCCTAATTAATCCATGATTAGCCATAAATGCTACAATAACCCACATGTGCTAATGACGGGTTAATTAGGCTTAATAAATTCATCTCATGGTTTCCAGGCGAGTTATGAAATTAGTTTTTTCATTCGTGTCCGAAAACCCTTCCGACATCCTGTCAAACATTTAATGTGACACCTAAAAATTTTCTTTTCGCAAACTAAACGCCAAATAATGGTGGTACATGTAGCCAAACGTCAAATCATTATAAACTTCATCGTTTATTATTCTCTTATTCTCCCTTCAAATTAGGAGTACAACCTTTTGATTTTTCGTTAACACATTTCCTAAATCGCTAAACGGTAATTTTTCAAAAGAATTTTATCACAATAGTTCTTTTAAAAATTAAAACAAACTATTATTTAAATATATAATAATTAATACTAGATTAATTATGCACTAATGATTTGTATCATTTTACGTGTCAAAAAAACTAAACTCTAACTGCAACTATCGAATGCAACCTTGAGGATTGCCGGTATGTTACTGTCGTTTGTTTAAACATAGAGTAAAATTTAAATAACTATAATTTTGTTGACTAAACTATCAATTTGTTGTAATATTAGGAAAAAAATTTAAATTGCTACAATAGCATCATTCGATTATTATAAAGTTACAGTTGTGTTCGATCCATAAACCGACTTCACATGTCATACAGATTATTCATGCCTGGGGAGGAACAAGAAGCCACATCACTGTGCCACGTCATCACCTGCATTATAAGGGCACTCACAGTGCAAGCTCCGGCATAGGGGTCCCAGCCCAACAAATTGAACAAAGACATCCATTCCTACAATGCTAGTAACCTATTTTGTGTAGCCTAATTGAATGGAGGTGCTGTGAAGGATACAAAGCCCATGACGCGGGTGACCCAGGCAAATAGGGCACATGAGAGCGGAAGGGAAAAAATTCCTCACCTATCCTTCCAGCGCTTCGTCTCGCCCTCCATTCCATCGCCCCTTCGCTTCCTCCCACTCCGCCGGACCCACCGCTCCTCCTCCCCGTCCGCCGCGGCACTCTGCTCTGGCCGCCGCTCATCCGATCCACTCGACTCTCCCATCCACCCCGTGGACTTGGTGGTGGCAGCATATGTGGTGGTCGATGCGGGAGGAGCCTGGCCCCCGTGCGGACTTGACGACGGCAGACTCGAGAGTGGCGAGGAAGGTGGGAGTGGACGGCGCGACGCCGACGGGCGGCCGGCGGTGGGAGCGGATGGCGCGACGCCGACAGGCGGCAGCGAGGGGGTAGGGGGGGAGGGTGGGGTGGCGGTAGCGGACGACTTCTCCTCCTCCACCTCCACCTCACGCGTACCTCGCCTCGCCACACCTCCTTTCTCATGCTGCGTCTCATGTGGCGGCGGAGGAGGGGAAAAACTCGAGCGGAGGGGAGGGGAGGGGATGTCGCTGGGGTGGCTGCGGAGGAAGTGGAGGGCGATTTGGGGTTTTCTCCAGGCGGATTCGGCGCAAGGGCATGGGGCGGTGTTGATGCGAAAAACACACACCAAATTTGGTCATCAACAGGCGGCGAAGCAACGGTGCCCACAGCGCAGGCGCGATGCGGTTTCGGTGCCGCGCGTGGACTCACCGAGACGAGGTTTTGTGCTTCCCTGCATGAGGACGAGTTGCTCTGATGGGACGTGGCTAGCACCGACACGCGGGTGTTTTTCCGACGTGGCGCAGCGAAGGAACTCGCCACGTCCTCGCACTATGAACGGCCTAACAACGCGCCACATTGGAAGACATGACCTGCCGTTGAGCACGGAAGACATCACGCTTGACCTCTTCAGCGTCGGCTCTATATTTAGAGGGTTCTAGGCGAACTTTGTAATATAGGCCCTAAAGACTAAATATACTTTAATATGTAATTTTATAAATCATATATCATCGAAAATAATGCAAATAAACATTATAAACACCTAAAATTACAATATAAATTAATCAACGAGAACAAAATAAAATCCTAACCTAATTTTCAGACTAAATATATGCAAATGAGAAGATGAGAAGATTACAAGACCTCACTCTAATCCTGGCCACGGTAAAATAAGATGTGGTCGCGTGAGAGTCACACGTGAGGATAGGCAACGATATCTTGCTAGCTGGGTTGGTGGTGATGGGCCCCGTACTGGCTTGGATCTTAAGCGGTCGTACAACTCGCCTAGTCCCGTAAGACGGCCCTGGACCTCTTGCCTGCTATTTCTTTGATTCAATGCCTCCACCGCTTCAAACTGAAACACAGTCGATGTCCGTATACTGTCCAAAGCGAAAACATTGTTTTGCACCTACTAAAAAATGCCTCGTTGGCAGTAATATATAGCACAAACTGTAATTCACTCTAGATAGCATCATCATGGGATGTAAATAGATGCATTACATTTACTACTTCGTATAGATGTATTTACTACATCACAAGGACATATTTAAAACCCTGCTTATATAAACTTAGGGTGGTTTCCATGAAAAATAAAATAATGTTTTAGTTAGTAGATATTACCATTGTGCCCTTGTTGTATTCCGTTGAACAATGACGATTTCTTTAGGTACTCCCTTCATTTCATATTATAAGTCATTTAGAATTTTTCCCTAGTTAAACATTTTCAAATTTGATTAAGTTTAAAAAAAGTATAGTAATATATATTTTCAAACAAATAAATGTATTATCAAAATATATTCAATGTTATGCTTTATGTTGCTAGTTTTTTTTCTATAAATCTGATCAAACTTAAAAATATTTGACGAAGATAAAAAATCAAAACGATTTATAATATGAAACATGGGGCGTAATAATTTTCTTACCCCTGTTTTGAAGCCATTTTGCTTCTTTTTCAAAGTGAAGCACTCCGATTGACCAGCTAGATCCGTTGGTAGTCCAAAGGTTTTCCGGCTAGCTCTATAAAAATAATAATAGTCTAGTCGGTCTAAATTCGAAACCTCACGATTTCTAATTATTCAAGGCCGACGTAGCCAAATCCAATGGCCTTGGCCTCCTCATTTGACGATGCTGCGGTGGTGGTGGTACGAGACGCCTTGATTTAATTAAGAACCACAAACTATACTGTCCGATTCATGGCTTCAACTGGCACTGATACTAGGTTTAGATCAGGAATTAAATCAAAATAAACCGACAGTGATACTGTACGTCATCGGTTCACATTCAAGCCGAGAATGATGGGTGGGCACTGGGCAGGATAAGATTTTCTACGGCAGTGTACATTCCTTAGAAATCAAATAAACTATTTGAAGACTCGAACGCATTGACGGATCTTTAGGCTGTGTTTGAGGGAGAGGGGATTGAGAAGATTGGAAAGATACGCAAAAACAAGGTGAGCCATTAGCGCATGATTAATTGAGTATTAACTATTTTAAATTTCAAAAATGGACTAATATGATTTTTAAAGCAACTTTCATAAAGAAATTTTTTGCAAAAAATACACCGTTTATTAGTTTGGGAAGCGTGCGCGCGGAAAACGAGTGACAATCTCCCCAGCCTCTCCCCAATCTTTTTGAAAGAACGCAGCCTTAGTACCCAGAACATAGTAAATTGATACACATACCAATGTCGTACCATAAAAATATCGATTATATATAGTCCCTCCGTTTCACAATGTAAGTCATTCTAGCATTTACCATATTCATATTGATGTTAATGAATCTAGACATATATATCTATCTAGATTCATTAACAATAATATGAATGTGGGAAATGCTAGAATGGCTTACATTGTGAAACAGAGGAAGTATATATATATATACCTGTAACAGGAGTATAAGTTGTCATACGTTTAATTTGTTGAAAGTCATCGGGGTCGTCCACCGTCCACCCCAAAGCTTTGTACCTGTCCATTGGAGACGTCATAGGCCTCTGTCCGGCGGTTTTTGTAGCTGCCAAGTTTTTTCCAATCTCCATCGACCTGCCAAAGTTTTTCCAATCTTTCATCGATTTCTTGCTTTGGCCATTTTGGGAAAGCCCAGCTGGGCAGGCTGCATGATGCAAAAGTATATGCAACCGGCAGGAAATTGACTGGAACGGGGGCAGAAGTTCTCAGGAAGCTCTCAGACATGATCTTGTGTGGCTTGACAAGCTTGTGCCTAGCTAGCTAGCTCTATGTTTCATGTGTGATAGCTGAGTATTAAACATCCCCGGCCGGGTTTACGAGACGCTAAAACTTCTTCTCTCCCGAGGATATGTTTAAGAGAAGGATAATTTTACCATCCTGACAGAGGTACCATATTTTCTAGTGTAAAATTTGATACCTCTAGGTACTAAGTATCTTAAGGTACCGTAAAATAATTTTAGTGTAAAATTTAAGTATCTCAAGGTACTTTCTCAGAAACTATAAAATTCCTCTTGAGAGAAAGGAAAGTAGTATAAGATTTAGAATATATATGAGTTATTAGTGTATGATTAATTAAGTGTTAATTATTTTTAAATTTAAAAAATAAATCAATATAATATTTTAAAGCAATATTCTTATAGAAAACTTAAGAAAATCACACCGTTTAACAGTTTCGAAAACAAACATACGTAAAACATATCGCTTCACGCACGCTGAGTAAGTATTTTACCCGCAGATATACCTAGTATATAAATACATGGTGAGTAAAAGTTTTACTCCTATGTCATACTGGGACGCTCTATTGGTAAAAGATTTTCTAGATTGTTCGACTTTGACAATCCATAAGAACTTTGCCAGATGTGTAATTAAGAATTTCGACACATAGTGTAGTAGTGATATCACATACGACGTGCTGTGGCGATGCGATGTAGCGCGACAGCACGCGTCAAGGCGAAGCAGAGGAGGCTACCATGGCGGCATGGGGTGCATACACGGAGGTGGCGAGGCAGAAGGCCGTGGGCCGTGGTCGCAAGGTGGCTGCTCCCCCTCCCAACTTTCCCCTAGTGAGCTCGTTGCGGCGAAACCTAGGGCAAGATCCGACACCGCCGTGGTCAGATCCGGTGCCCCCACGAGCAAATCTGGTGCCCCCACGCACGATGGATCTGGTTGGGGTCGAGCGGCAACACAATACTACCTGGAAACCGACGAGGTGTGGGGTTGGCGGAGGCGACGGCATTAGGAAGCCGACGCAGGTAATGGCAAGGGTCTCCCATGTGGCTAATGGTAGCAAGTGGTCGGCATGGACAACAACAATGCCGATGAGGTAAGCTACGGCTTGGCTGGTGGCACGGCAGATGGCGGCAGCCAACTGCAAGGTGGTCGACGGCAACAGTCATGGGTGCGTTGGCTGGTCGCTCTACTAGTGGCCATCTTCCCCGACGGCGGGCCTACACATAGTGGAGTGGTGGGCATCGACGGAGCAGGGGTGCAAAGGCGAGGAGTGGATTGCTGGATCTGATTCCCCAAGGTTGGATGCGGCGTCTCTCTTTTAAGATGACCGCGACGGCGGGATGATGGAGAGCAGTGGTGCTAGATAACGGCGAGGCTCACGTGCTCATTGCTTATGCTGCATGTGGGGAGAGGAGATGGCGTCGTGCCACATTTCATTGGAACTTGGCAGCATATGGAGGACTGGTTCTCCTCCCCGATGGCCGACTGTGTTGCGGCTCTAGTACGGTTACTGCATACTGAAGGTGGTTCGGACGATGGAGGCTGAAGGCAATGACGAGGAAGCAATGACATTGCAAGGGCAAGAAGTTTTCGGCAAAAGCCTAGCCCAAAGGGTACCACAATAGCAATGCTTTTGGGTGCCGTAACCTTCTTGGGGACGCTATCGTGGCTTTCTTCCCTCGCTGGTGGATCCTTCAGGTAAAAACCATGCCCCGTTTACTTGGGACAGACGGCAGCGGCGTCCTCGTTATGATCTTCATGGAGGCATCGTTTGAAGGTCCATTTCCTTTAAATATTTCTCCAGACGACCGTCCTCTTTGCGGTGGTGCTTATGACTTTCACAAGATGACCACGTTGGCGGGTGTGTCTGAGGGAAAACGGATCCATCTCTTTCTCGCCCTCTTCCTCTTCAACCCAAGGGCGGACACAGGATAAAAAACGACTGGGGGCATGCATCTAAACTCATACAACAAGTTTGAAAGCCACGAAACTTACATCATTGCAGCTTATAAGAACTTTGAGATATCACATTATCTTAAATAGTAAATATAGATATATCTTCCAAATAATACTATTGCCTGTAAAGACGAAATAACTTAGCACAAGTCATATAAATATAGATAGGAAATAAGGTTTAAAACATACCTAACATCCTTTTCACAGCAATACATCATCTTATGGAAACGATCAATGATCACATCATTAGTAATTGTGTCCAACATATCATTTTCTACAAAGCAAATGAGGCTATGGCTTAGATACTTGTCTCCCATCTTGTTGCGTAGAGCATTCTTCACAATCTTTCTAGCCGAGAAACACTTCTCCACAGTTGCAGTGGCAATAGGAAATGCTCATGATGATTATCTTTTATGCTGTCGCTAAACAAATAGCAACATAAACAGTAGGCTTTGTCATCCTTTTCACTATACTCTAGTTAATTAGCATACTTATCAAACCTTATAGATTGAACCACTTCTTATTCTCAATCAATTCACAAGGATACTGAAAATACCATTGATATGGTCCTCATACTAAATACTTTCTCCTTATGTCTTCATGTTGATTGGAATGATAATCCGCTACTCTCTTCCTTTAACCTGGATCACGAGGAAGCTTGTCCAAATCAATTGGTTGAGGCACCGCAGAATTTTCTCCCAATATTGGTCTAGATGCATTTGCACTAGAACTCTCTCCAATGGTATTCATATCAGCTGGATTTCTAATAAAAAATTGTTCATTTTATCCCCTACTAGATCAAGATAAGGCTGATTAGATAAAGCATATAGGAGGGAGTTCCAGGATTCATCCACTATTTACTGCACAAGAGGGAGGAGAGAAAGATATGACTGCATAGTATGCATACCGAGGGAGGGAGAGAGCAGTGCCTGACCTGACATGACTGCTTTACGGGACGGAGTGTGCCGCTGACGATGATGGGCGATCGAGAAGGTGAAAGGATGGGGCGAGAAGAAGGGGAACGGATGTTCGACGAAACACGTGCGTGACACTTAGGGGGAGTGGGGTCCTTCTTTCCAATTGAACTGGGGGCCCATGATTTTTTATTAGGGATATACTTAAGGAGTTTAATTTTTGAGTGGGGTCCTGTGCCCCCCCCCCACCCCCCATTGCTTGTATGCTAAATCCGTCCCTGCTCCAACCCAAAGGCATGGATGGAGTAGAGAGTGGTTGGGATATTGTGCTTTCCTTTTGTTGCTCTACTCTTCTGTTTTAGACATGTGGTGTGGCTTGTTTTTTACCCAACTTGTTTACCTTTTTAATCGCAAAAAAACAGACTTAACCTTTTTAAGTTTTCCAAATCTCGAACTAATCGGACTAAACTTGTTTCCAGCTTCTTTTTGTTTCCATTTTAGGAAACTAATACTTCTTAACGTTTCGAGAGAGAGAGAGAAGGTCCTCCCTATGCATATCTGGACTATATATATGCATGCATGCATGCTTGTGAGATAATGCCCTTAATTAAGCTTATGGTTGGATATAACTCAAGATCAATCATTTTCATTAAGAATAGATCTGAAGTTCTGAACATATATTTTCGATTGCCATATGCCTACTTCTGAAAGGGAATGGTTACGTTTGTATAAATTTTGCAGCACCTTAATTACAAAAAAAATACTGCGGCCAGCTAGTCAACATACTGTCAATATTAGAGAACCAATGACTCCAGCAGGACTGCCATGGTTTACCTAGGAGTCAAGAGAACACATGAAGATAATTAATGTTGTTTGAGCCCAATAATTTGACTATCATTACAAAATTACAAAGATGGAGAGAGGAAACTGATAGCCAAAATGACCAAAAAACAAAGGGTAAAGGCGGAGGATCAGAGGAACTATATACTGCCCTCCTGATGGTCAACTACTAGATTCTACTACTCATCACACTCTAGTAGTTCTTTCGTCTTGGGTAAGGATGTTTACTTGCCAAATGCTTGATCTCTTCAACCAATTCCATATCAAGGGACAGTATCATTGTTTTTTGTACTTTTACCTGGTACAAGTTAAAGAAATGTGTGAGAATGAAGTATGTAGTCCTCAAGAATAGGTTCTACAAATGTAGTGCATGCACAGCTACCTTTCTTTTGGAGGTGAACTTGATTCCACAAGCTTTCAACAAATTTCTCCATTTATCCTAGATAACGGAACTTCATGAGACTAATGTCTTACAATACCATCTAACAAGTAACAATGCATGTATTTTTGGTGGAATATATCATAAATAAGCAAGGCATTATACCTTCAGATGAACAGCAGTTCGAATAGACGTTGAGAAGAAGTCTCTCTTCAACTTAGTCCATGATCCAACCCCATGCTTAGAAACACCTTTTACTAATTCAGTTATTTCTTTGAATGTCCAATGTTCATTGTTTTTTCTAAGATGATGTCTTCTAATTGTAGTGGTTCCAAACCGAAGTGGTTTCTGTGAAGATAACAAAAATTGTTACAAGAATCTCCATTAATATATATAGATATAACAGATTGAAAATCTAAATACTTAACTGAAAGATAGCATAATGGAAAATATAAGACTATGCAAATAGAGCTCGTTGTGAGCTAAATAAAATGTTATATCTAAAAGAGATAAGTTCATATTACTGCTCTCAACTATTGGGTTTGTAAAGAAATAGCCCTTGGCTCCTATAAGCCCTAACTGTATCAAAACTGAATAAAGTACCCCCTTGATCCACGTGTAATATAACCTAGTTATAATGATATAAAAAAATCCAAACAGTACTTGTACAACACTTAGTTAGTAGCTGATGTAAAAGGTAGATAAATGTATGTAAAAGAATATGTATATTTGAATTAAGAATATCATGAAAACCATTATTAAAACTGAGTTTATTACAGTTAGCTAGTTTTGATAGTTGAGGGGGTGTAGAATATTCATTTTGATAGTTCATGTATATATTTTTACACAAAGACGATAGTTGAGGGTGTAATATCGACTTGTACCTATCTAAAATAGAAAAAAAATTAAGATTATTACATATGAAACATTTTTTTAGAGAGAAGGCCAGAGGCCCGGCTTTTACTTGAAAGCCAAAATATGAAACATTGACAATATTATAATTAGTTTAATCTATTTAGATAGTTTGTAACTAAAAGAATATAGGAATGGAATTTCTTACTTACCAACGAAAATGGTTTTCTCTTGCGGCCACATCGCCGGCCACATCTACTACCATACTTAGGTATGAAATCTGAAGCATAAGTATGTCTAGATAAGTTAGTGAATAAATATACTAATTTGTATTAGCAAATACCTCATTAATTATTCATACCTAGAAGATTTAGTATGGGATTTGGAGGTGTTTGGATTGTCACGGTCTCCTTTGTAGCAAGCAAATAAGATTCACCTACCAGAAGAGTTTCATGAGCATGGCTGATTGTCATGTAAAGATTGAAAACAGACAACACTTACTAAATTTTGTACCTGCCAAACATTTGTAGATGTCTGTTTCATCTCTTGGCCCTTGTAATAATTGTTGAATTTCGCCTTCGCAGGCTAGATATAACATATCATCCATCTACAATGAAGAAAACAAAATATTAATGTAAAATTGTATATTTATTTGTTCGAGAGTATATAATCAAATGGAAGCATCAAAATAGTATAGTCCACAATAGATGCAATAAAGAAAAACAAAATTGGTTGATCCCAGACAAACTGTGCTTTAAAAACTACCAATGAAAATAGTATTTTGCATATCTTAGATGGCATAAAGTATTCCAATAAAAATCATAACTTTAAGAAAGCACGAACATGATGTTTGAATTAAAATACTTACCACACATATACATGACGTCCTAACAAATTATGAGATCATCAATAAGTAACATGTGTCAATTTAGCTGTGGTACTCCGCACAATAATATACAAGTTCATGTAGCAGAACAAACATATTGCACGATTGCATAAGTTTACATCTATCTCTCCCAAGTTCATGTACCACTAGTACAATCTATTACTTAATCAATTTTCAAGCTGACACATCATGATGTGATTTGTGCGACTAGGGACTCATGGCCCCATGAACAGCCCAGCAACCTAATAATAAGCCACTGATATAAGGTAGTAAGGAGAAATATGGTCAGGGCTGGTCCTGGGGTTTTGGGGCCCCAGGGCAAAAACTTATATGGAGGCCCCTACATATATACATAAACTAATTTATATATTTATATAGTCTGATAAACACATACCATTTAATATTCGATGTGACAAAATTATCTATATATAACATTTTAAAACTCCAATGAAAAATAAATAGCAGTAGCGAGCAGAGAAGTCGACCGGCGGACGATTGACACGAGCGTGGTTACTGGCGAGTCGCGATTTGCCAACTTGCTGTTTTCGTTTGCGAGATGCCGAGAAGTCACCAAGAGCGCAGGAGCAACGAGCGGCGTGACGTGATTGAGGCGGCACGACGTGAGTGGCGTGATGTGATCAAGGCAAAGCGACGGGAGTCAAATGAAGATTGCTTCAGCTTCACTAAAACAGGCCTAACGATAGACTAAAATTCATTTTCTATATTAGGCTATTCAGCTATCTAACTTAATATAGATCCATGGCACGTGTACTAGAATTATACAATACGTAGTATATATACTGTATGTGCATAGGGGGCCCTTAGATTTTGGGGGCCTCGGGCGGCCGCATGGCCTGACCCCCTAGGGCCGGCCCTGAATATGGTTGGATAACGCTAATTTAAATCGCTCGGGCAAAATAAGAACAACACCTACAATCAACACCCTCCCTTTTTCCCATTAGCAAAAACTTGTTTCAAATACAGTATCAGGAAGCACACTTATTAGGAAACTTCATAGCTACCCCAGTTCAGGGGAGGAGCCATCCCCGGCCACCGGCGAAAACTCCATTTAATTTTTACGTTGTTAAATGAATTGACATGAAATTTATGTAGCAAATACTTATTATATTAAAGTTTTTTCGGGCTCAAAAATCTTTCTACCTCCCTACTGTCCCAGTTCAACGTTGGTAATTAAGCAGAATCGGGCACCCGGCCGGCAGCATGTAAATAGCCCGATAGGCAACCTTCGATACTATTGCCAGCAGATTTTTACTGCATATACTGTTTGGCAATTGCGTTGATTTTTTTCATTAAATCTTAAACATGTTTAATCATGACAAACCATATACTACCATTTGCTTCAGTTTGGTAGTCTAAATTAATCTAGTTTTGTTTCACCCTTACTTAAAATTTTTGTTCTGCGCTTGCCACCAATTTCAGTCCGAAAGTGCATCTCGCTGAAGTCTCAGGTAACCTCCATCTCCATGTTCTACTACTGCAGTAAAAATACAGACAAAAAAAAAATCATCAAAGGAGAGAGCGATGGCCTCTTGCCTGGCTGCTGCTACCGCCGCCGTCCGCCGCCGCCGCCGCCCACTCCGGCTCTCCCACCACACCCCACCTCCACCCAGAAGCCGGCTGCTCCTCCATAGCTGCCGGCAAGAACAACGCCGCCGCCGCCGCCGCGGTGCGAAGAGCTAGCAGCTCCGGCCGGTCCCTGCAAAAATGCAGAAAAAAAGAAAGAAAGAAAAAAGAGAACAAAATCTTTACACACACCCGGATGGATAACAACGGCGACATCCATCCATCCATCAACAAGAAAGCCACAAGAACAAACCGAATCTTTGTTCAGGTTTCCACAAGTGGAAACCACAAGCCAAAGCGAAAGCAACCATAAACAGAAACAAAAAAAAGAAGAAAAAAAAAGAAAAAACAAGTCACCCCGATTGATTGATCCCCTTCAATATTCCTCACTCTGAGTCGCAGTGCGCGAGAGAGCGATCGGCTGCTGCGGGCGGATCGACGAGGACGAGCGGAGAGAGAGGCCGGCCAATGGAGCTATAGCTTCGCCGCGCGGGGTGAGGACGGACGCAGCGTTTACGCGAGCATGCGGTAGATATAAGTAAGCGCGAGAGGACGGACGCCACGGCTCCCGCGAGCCGGATTTAATAATCCGCGCGACGTCCAGACTTTTGACGTGATACTGCAGCAGAATTTATCACCTGGTTCAATCCACAAAGTATGTTTGACGTGGTTTCCAACGTTATACTTTGACTATTAATTTTTTTACTAGTAATATGCCTATGCTAAACGCTACGGGGTAATTCTGTTTGTCTTTAATAACATTTAAAATTTCATGTTAGCAATTTTTTTCTGTTAGCATAACGGCGTGAATATAAACTCAAATAACAGTATGATATGATATAGATATCTTAATAATAGTTTCACCATGTAACTTAGAAAATGTTTAGAGACATAGTGTAATTTGCAACACATATACCTTTGCTGAACTCAATGTAGTAGCTCTGAATCCTATTTATTGACGAAAGAAGGAATCATCAACACGAAAGTACTGCAATTTTAAACAGACCGAAAAATAAAATCCCAAAGTATTATAATTCATATCTGTATTAAATCACCCCAACTGCATGGTAAACAGGAACCTCATCTGAAAAGCCGGCAGTCTAAACAGGATGCCCATTTTAAAAACTCTAAAAACTTCACATTCCATAGTAATTTCTCTAAAATTTACATTAGAGAAATTAGGTGATCCCATCAATTCAGGGAAGGAGTTTGTGTGATTGCGAAAAACCTACTGGGTGCAACGACGTAGTCTGAAACGATGGCGAGGCAGCGCTCTCAACAGCTGAGTCTCGAGCAATCTTACACTGGAGCACGTCGACCCTGTTGCCTGTCCAATGCTAATTCTACTCAAAGCAAAGAAATATCACATATATTATGTACCCTCAGCAAAATAAATGGCAAGTAGAGGGCTTGCTCTTTATAAGTGGTCACCACCTTAAAAACGCAAAATGCTTAGTGGCAGTACCTATCTATTAACCTATCGACGCAACTGGAGAGTCGATGAGACAGCTTCAGCTCCCCAATTAACCTATACATTGTATATGAGAGACAAGTAAAGGAATCAGTATATATATCAAGCAACTTTCATAACATTAGATCCCATGTCACAAGCAAGTTTTTATTTTAAATTTTCCACCTCTCTCTGCGGTTTGCTTGTGCTTAGTGGTTATGGCAGCAGGAATGATTTGTTACCAAAATGTATGTAGGTCCGAAATAACTTGGTCCAAAAACATATATTCAAGCCCAGCTTTCAGTAAAATAAAAAAAATATTTCGTATAGAAAAATACGAAAGTACTTGAGGGTACAATAACACATTCAGTTCATCCAAAATACACTCTGCTTGGCCAATGTTACTGGTCATACAAAAATTATACATATAAATATGTGATCATAGACCGAACGAACCTCTATTTGTCAAAAGTAATTCCAATTTGGAAGGGGATTGAGCGATGCTTACCTGGCTAGCAGCATGGGGGTGAGGAGGACCGGCAGACACCAACGGCAGATCTGGTGGCGATGCAAGTGCGCTACTTTTGTTTCAGCACTCCGTAGACCGCAATTCAATATTTTCAGGAACTGGAAAAATACTCAGCAGTCTCAAATGCAAAAGAGATAGTTCACATATTCCTGAGACCAATGTGGTAATTTGTAGTTTGTGCAATTTTATGAAAATCACTTGCATAGACAACTGTCTGTTTTATGAAAATCACTTGCATATTCCTGAGATAGTTCACATTTTCTGCTTTGCACCTCAACTCTCTGTTTCTCCTTTGATCTCTTTAAACTACATTCTCCTAGGATGTAAATGCAACTACTTGTACTCTTGCTCTGTAAAATGGCAATTAGCAATCTATCATGCTATGTATCGTGCAGTAATCTGAAATCTAGATTATGAATTGATTGAAGGAGATGTGTGCCTTTGAGTTCGAGATTTGGGGATATTGGTGAGAGGAAGGCAGATGACGATCTGTCAGCGAGCAAGATGTCCTACTTATTAAATGGAATCCGCAAATTCAGTATATTTGTTATTTTCTGAATGAAGAACAAGTGTCAGCAAAGTCATTTTCCAAACAGCCCTACACTAAATACTCTTTCATTTGCACGTGAAACCAACCTCTATGGCACTGAAGCATGCTATAGTGTGGGAGAGGAAAATAAATCAAGTTTTTATTTTCAGTTTTCAGTCTCTCTCTGTCAGTTTGGAACAAATTGGAAGTATCAAGCATAAACATGTATATGAGCAATTAGATTGTGACCTCACCAAAGCTGCTATGTTGTCAGAAACCATAGATATATAGAAAATAGTGCTGATTCATAAAGCATGACTTCAGCACTATAGGTTTCAATAGAGGCTTCCTTTATATCACGGAATAAATCAATTGGTAGAGTAAAAACATTTGTCTTTTAAGGAGTAAAAATATTGGTAAACTGCTTTTACCTTCAATTCAGGTCATGAACCGAGGACATGGACTGGAAACAGCAGGATATGCACACAGGAGGTTTCCAATCAGCGGGGTCACGCACAACGGTCATTGAAAAGAATCTGCTAAGACATCTATTTTCAGTTTTTTACTCAGAGGGTAGAGAATAATAGTCTACAAAATGTCTGCTATTGCGATTAATCTTAGATAGCTAAGCACAAACATGAATAATAAAGAAAAAAACACCAACTTCTTTGGATTGGTAAGCACAAATGGCAGATAAGAATACACGATAAATATGGTTGACATCATTGAAGGAAGGGTATGATCAGGTTTTAATTTTTCACAAAATTGTATCACCATATGCAATCTGTAAATTCAGTATATTTACATAATTTACCCTTACATCTATGGCACTGATGTATGCTATAGTGGGAGAGAGGAATATAAATCAAGTTTTTGTTTTCAATTATCCGTCTCTCTCAGTCACTTTGGATCAAATTTGCATCAATAGACACATGACACCGTTATTCACAATCACATCCATTGACTTTGCAATTTTGCATTATTCAACTGTAAAATAGCAAACCAAATCTATGCAATGGTTGAAGGAAAAGGATCTATATGCAACGGTTGAAGGAAAGATGCTTACCTTGTTCACGTGCGGGATCGATGGCCTGCGGATGCGAGGGGTCCAGGTGGCCGGTGGCGGCGTGATGGTGGAGCGGTGGCTCGCCGGATCGACGATGACCTGATGGCGCCGCAGTGGAGAGGGATCCGCTGCAGTGGAGATCGATCCGGTGAATCCGCAGCGGATCGACGACGAACCCGCGGTGGGCGATTGGTGGGAAGCACGATGGCCGGTGGCAAGCGGTGGAAGAGCGCCTGGGATTCACCGGGACGTCGATGTGGTGACGGCACAGGGCAATGTGGCGGTGGCGGTGGCGGCGGCGGCGACTGGTTGAGGCGGGGAGAGAGAGCGTGAATGAGGGGGAGCGGGGAGGGCGCAACCGAGGGGAGAGGGGTGCGGTGTGGTCGTGCGGAAGGGAGACGGGAGGTGGGAGAGGAGCCGATCGTGAGCGTTGGATTTCACAGAGATGATCTGAACCGTTGAGTGTAGGGATGGCAATTTCCCCCGCGGGGCCGGGTCCCCTGCGGGGACCCGCCCCTACGGGGGCGGGGGCGGGGCCGATTTTCGACCCGCGGGTGCGTCGGGGACGGGGCCCCGCATTTGGGCGGGGAGGGGACGGGGGACTGATTTCACCCGCGGGTGACCCGCGGGGCCCCGGGGAGTACATATAGACCTCAAAATATAGATCAAAGAAAGCCCAAAAAGCCCAGCCCACTAAAAAAATCCTTAACCCTAGCAGCACTGCAGCACATCCCTCAGTCTCTCTCCTCCCCACATCCATTCCCCTCCCCTCCCGTCATCCACTCATCCCGTGTGGCTGTGGCGTGAGCCGCGTGACCTCGGCGGCGGCGCGCGCTCGTGGGCGGCTCGCCGGCTCGCCTCTGGATCTCGCCCTCTCGGCGTCGCCGGCGCCTGCCAGCCGCCAGGCCACCATCTCCTCTCCCCTCCTTTCCAGTCTCCCCTCCGGCGTCCGGCAGCTCGAGCTCGTCCTCTTCTCGAGTTACGCGCGGACACAGGCACCCGCGGCGCGCGGGCAGCGTGCGGGAGCGCCCGCAGAAGGGCGCGCGGGCAGGGCGCGCGCGGACAGGGCGCGCGGGAGGTTCAGACATCACAAAGAGTGAGAGGTATTGTCCATCTCCAATACTCCAAATGTGCCTTGTGATTTGTGAATGAAATTATGAAACAGAAGATTGTGATCTATTTCAGTGTATATTTCAGTGTATATTTGGTAGATTTGGTAGTACATAGCACATAGCAGCAGATTGTGATCTATTATTGAATTATGTTATTTGTGGACAGAATGTCGAACCCTGCTGCCACCGTTGAGTCACAAGTTGCATTGACACCATCTTCCACTCCCACTCCAACCAATGCTCCAAGCGTCGAAATAAATGATTCACAAGGTACAGAAGTAGAACATGATAATAAGAGACTGAAATCTGCAGCATGGCAAGATTTTGTTAAGAAGAAAATAAATGGTGCGTGGAAAGCTGAATGCAAATGGTGTCACAACAAGCTTGGAGCTGAAAGTAGAAATGGGACTAAACATTTGTTAGACCATATTAAAACTTGCAAGTCTAGGCAGGCTAGAAAAGGTCTAACACAATCCAATTTGAAGATGGGAATAGATGCAGAAGGGAGGGTTACCGTAGGGAAATATGTCTTTGATCAAGAGGTTGCTAGGAAAGAACTTGCACTGATGATATGCCTCCATGAGTACCCACTTTCTATTGTAGACCATGTTGGTTTTCGTAGGTTTTGTGGTGCATTGCAACCTTTGTTCAAGGTTATGACCAGAAACACAATTAGGAAGGATATTATTGACTTGTTTGGGGTTAACAAGATTTCTATCAGTAATTATTTTCACAAGCTTCAGAGCCGTGTGGCCATTACTACTGATTTATGGACAGCAACTCATCAAAAGAAAGGATATATGGCAATCACCGCTCACTTCATCGATGATGAATGGAAATTGAAGAGTTTTCTTTTGAGGTATATTGAATATGTGCTGCACATTATGCTATATCATGCTTCTTACATTTGTTTAACTCTATACTAATGTTCTCTTGTGGTGTTTTATGTTTTGTAGGTTTATTTATGTACCAGCACCTCATACCGCTGATCTTATAAGTGAAATTATTTATGAGGTTCTTGCTGATTGGAACTTGGAGAGTAGGCTGTCTACTATCACACTTGACAACTGCAGCACCAATGACAAGTTAATGGAGAACCTATTGGGGACAATGCTAGATAAGTTGCCTGCTGATACTCTTATGTTAAATGGTTCATTGCTGCATATGCGTTGTTGTGCACATATTTTGAATTTGATTGTGAAAGATGGAATGACTATCCTAGATAAAATCATTGAGAAGGTTCGTGAGAGTGTTTCATTTTGGACAGCAACACCAAAGAGACATGAGAAATTTGAAAAACAGGCCCAACAAATAAATGTTAAGTATGAGAAAGTAATTGCCCTTGATTGCAAAACTAGATGGAATTCTACTTATCTCATGCTTAGCACTGCAGTTTTGTATCAAGATGTCTTTACAAAACTTGGAACTCGTGAAAAAATGTATACTCCTTATTGTCCATCAAATGATGATTGGAAGTTTGCTAGGGAGCTTTGTGATAGATTGAAGATTTTTTATGATGCAACAGAGGCTTTTTCTGGTAGTAAGTATTGTACTGCAAATCTTTTCTTTCCTAAGGCTTGTGGTATTTATTTGGCTATGAGAAAATGGTCAACTAGTGCTAATCCAAACATTATAACAATGACTAAATTGATGTCAGCCAAATATGAGAAGTATTGGAAGGATGTGCATGGTATTTTGGCTATTGCTAGTGTTTTGGATCCTAGATATAAACTTCATATGTTGAATGCTATGTTTATACAAATCTATGGAGAAGAGGTGGCACTAAGAAAAGTTAATGCTGTGAAAGAAGACTTGAATAAGTTAGTGCTACAATACCAAAATCATGTTGAGGAGGGTGTTGGAACTTCAGATGGAGTTAGTGCTTCTTCAAGTGTTGCCCCTCCAGGGGGATTTGATTTGGTGGATGATATATTTGATCAGTATATGTCTGGACAAACTGTTGCCTCTTCCTCACAGATTCGCACTGAGTTAGATTTGTATTTGGAAGAGAAACCGTTGCCTAGGACACAAGATTTTGATATTATCAATTGGTGGAAGTTTGGGGGCATTAGGTACCCAACTTTGAGACAGATTGCCCGGGACATTTTGGCAATCCCTATTACAACAGTAGCATCTGAATCAGCATTTAGTACTGGTGGGAGGGTGATAACTCCAAATCGTAATCAGCTTAAACCTGATCTTGTGGAGGCACTTATGTGTGTGCAAGCATGGGGTCGTGCTGATATGTTAGGTAATTTCATTTTTGCTTTTGTATCGTTCAAGTTTAATTTGTCCTTTCATGTTTCTTCCATTTCATCTAATTGCAAATCACATTATATGTTGATAGCTGAAATTGCTAACAAGACCAATGCATTGAACACGGTACTTGACGATGAATCAGAATCGGTATGTCCTACACTCCCACTTTATTGTTTTTATTACTATAACATACAATGCTTAGTTGCTTCCTCTAATTTTGATTTCAGGAAGCATCTACTGTCACTGAAGCTTGAGGTGGAGATTTCATAAGTGAAGGATGGGCTAGAAAGCCTGCAATTGCAAACTATCTACCTATATATTTTATTATGTTGGCAATGTAATAGTATATTAAGACTTCTATATTTCTGTGAGACTGAATTTGCTTGCTGTGTGTGATGTGTTGAACAATTCAACTGTTGAACTTTGAAGGCTTGATTCGCTTGAACAGTTGAACTCATGTGTGTTAGTGTGTAACTGTGTGAAATTATGGATATCATCAATGTGTTCTTGCTGAATTTTTATGATGAAATTGAAGTATTCATGCTATTTTTGATGTTGTGTTAATTATGTACAATATTTCTTTTTGATGAAATGATGATTGTGTTGTATTTTTTGAGCTGATTGGATGGAGATGCTACCCAATGCGGGGCCCCGGTCGGGTTGCGGGGCCCCGCAGGGGTCGGGGGCGGGGGATGTTTTCAACCCGCATCACTGGTCGGGGCCGGGGGCGGGGGGTGAAGTCGGGGGTCGGGGTCGGGGGCGTTCCAGCCCAACCCGGCCCCGCCCCGCCCCGCTGCCATCCCTAGTTGAGTGATGAATGTAAGAGTGTAGGAGTGAAAGATGAGTAAAAGGTGTTGGCGAATTATATGGTAGATAAGAGAGTGTCTATTTAGCTTCTCATGATTACTTTGACCGGTGTCTATTCAGTTTCTCATGATTTTGGAATCTTAAATCTACTTTTTAATGGCTTAGGCTGAGTTTTAAAGAGCAGTTAGGTGGGCTACTCTATCGTTTTTCGTGAGTGTGTTTTCTAAATTTACTTAAAATTTCTTTTAGAAGTCAAATAAATATATTTTTTCAAGTTTATAATAGTTCATCAATGGTGTGCTAAGGGCAGTCCCAACCCATAGTGTCCATAAGCAGTGTCTATAGTGCCATGTTAATAAGACATCACAATAGAAACTACACTCCACAACCCATGTTTTCTTAAAGTGGGCCATTAATAAATACATCATCTCTCTTCTCTACCAATCATATTTATTCTTCATCTATTATGAAGACACTATTCTCTCCCAATGCAAAAACTTGATAGTGTCTAGTGCATAGGTTCTCGTGTTGAAGCTGTGTCTTGCATAAGACCCAGTTTCTTCCACTCTTCACTCTCTCTCTCTTAATTAATATAGTGTCACATAAGTTAAAAGTCTTACATGGCAATGTAGTTAATATCATAGACACCATCCCAGGTGGAGGGTTGGGACTGCCCTAATGACTCATCTCATCTTGTCTCGTTTTCCGTACCAAAAATAACTCAATCCTCACCTTTATTCTAAACTCAGCCTTAGACTCAAGTGCGATGCAACAGCCAAAAAAACTGAATTAGATGGAGAGATCCTTCGACAAATTTTTAGCACACCTTTTTTAGTTTTTATAATGTGCTATCAATAATTAATATTATTATGTAATAATTATTTTAAGAGTAAATTTCACAAAACTACAGGTATTTTGATCAAATTATCACAAAACTACAGATTTAAGGAGTTGTATCGTAAAACTACACATTTAGCATCAAATTTATCACAAAACTGCAGATTTTAGGTTAAGTATCATAAAAATACATATTTAATATTGAACTTATCACAAAACTACAACTTTTGGAGTTTAAATCCCTAGCACCATTGTTACGGTGGAGCAATAAACATTATTACTTTATGATTAAATTGGTTCTAAACCGTAGTTTTATGATAATTTAGTTACTAAACGTGTAGTTTTGTAACACTTCATCTTAAATGGGTAGTTTTGTGACAAATTTGGTGCTAAATGTGTAGTTTTGTGATACAACTCCTTAAATCTGTAGTTTTGTGATAGTTTGATCATAGTATCTGTAGTTTTATGAAATTTACTCTTATTTTAAATATGAAACTAATAGTATCACACATGCATAACATACAGTAACGGATGCGCTAAAATACATCTTGGGACAATATATAATTAAAACATGCTACTCACATAGTAATATTTTTGCTGCAAGTTATATTATCCTCAAATACATAATAGTAAAAATTTTACTAGTAGACACAATAGAGATATCAACCTCAAATACTTTCGCAGTGGAAATTTTATTATTTTGAGCTACGTTTTAGTTGTACCACACTCTAGGTGTGGTACGTATAATATGTCTAGTATTACTAATTTAATTTATTAAAAGATTAAAAATATTAACTTTTCCAAATAATGCATCTACTACTTCGTATAGGCACACATGAATATATTTACAACCATAGATTCAGATACTGGCGCTTCCATGAGGATTAGTAGTTAATTAGACATCAAACACCAGCTGCTATATATATAGCGGGTTTGTCAAAATCATATATATTCCATCCGTTTCAATTTGTATTCAAAAGGTTTGTTAAAAACTTATCCTTCTCGCTTCTCGCTTCTCAACTAATGCATTTTTAAAAGTATTTTCCTTTTTACCTTTAATTATACCAATACATTTATACTAATATGTTCATCATATCAAATTTTAATGTTTGTTTTAGAAAAAGAAAAAGTACGAATTACCCCAAACCTTTTCCTTTTAAAAAATAATTATGATAGTATCAATATAATTTTATCTAGTTTAACGTAAGATTTGTTTAGAACTAAGGGAGTACATGGTTTTTATCTATGCCCAAAGATCGGGTAACTGCTCTGCTTCTCTCCCATTGGACAAGTAGTGATGCTCTATGTGCTGGCCATAAAAAGTGCCATGTTGGATTGAGTGATGGAGTGAAGGAAAGAGATGATGAGTCACCCCTAAATCAAGAGATAACTTCTACACAAACTTCAAGAACGGTGTGAAAGTATTAGAGATATTAGTATTTGTGTACTATATATGACATATTATATAGGTTGTCTCTTAGTTTATGAGTAAATGATATGGATAAAATTAAAGGGGTAGTCACATCTCACATAGCACTTGCTCTTATCTCCAAACATACCCTACTACTCCTGCCTAGTCACATCTACCATAGCACTTGCTCTTATCTCCAAGCATACCCTATTACTCCTGCCTCTGCACATGTCAGACTCCTTTCTCTTAGCCTCATGCATCATCTCTCCTCTTGGGTCATTAGGCATTGTTTAGTTCCCAAAACAAAAACTTTTTACCCATCACATCGAATGTTTGGACACATGCATGGAGTATTAAATGTGGACAAAACAAAAAAAACCAATTATAAGTTTGCGTGTAAATTGCGAGACGAATCGTTTAAGCCTAATTGCACCATGATTTGATAATGTGGTGCTATAGTAAACATTTGCTAATGTCGGATTAATTAGGCTTAATAAATTCATTTCGCAGTTTTTAGGTGGAATCTATAATTTGTTATTAGACTGCGTTTAATACTTCAAATGTGTGTTCATATATCCAATGTGACAACCAAACCCAAAAATTTTCCCAAACTAAGAAAGGTCTTAGCCATGCAAGCTACTCAAACTGAATGGCCCTATGAAAAAGTTGCTTCCACATTGGATAGAACTACTCAAAGAAACTCATCCCACAGTGCAGAATCCCTAGACACGAAATTTTCTATTTCAGCCCTTATGTTTTCTATTCCAGTCCTTCCGAATCTGATAAATCTAGAATTTTATAGAGGGGACCCTAGCAACCACAAAATAATCACAAAGAGAATATAAAACAACCATCACTCTCTATTCCCCCAACCTCTCCCCGTCGGCCATCACTCCCTCTCCCGGTTTCTCTCGTCGGAAGTGTCGGCGACGCCTCTCCCTCCTCCATCTTTGCCGGCACCCCACTCCTCATCTCCTCCTAACCTGGACGGAACGAGCTCGGCGGGATCATGGTCGGTGGGCGGATCGAGCCTGGTCGGCGCGAACCGAGCTCAAGGGCGGCGGAGCGAGCCCTTCCACCACCCGCTCGTCCCTCGCCGTGGCAAATCAAGGTTGCACCTCTCGCAGCGACGAGCTCGTGTGCCACCATCAGCACAGAGACGCGGGGCGGCACGGCCAGAGATGGAGCTTGGCGACACAAATCTAGTCGGCGGCGGCGCTGAGCAGGGCTACAGCTGTCGCCTGCCGTCAAGCTCGGAGTGGCCCCATTCCCCTCGACGACTGTCGTGGAGCTTCAACGTTGACCAAATCAGGGCGCTAGGGTCGTTAGTCCCGTCGTAGGCTACCGGCGCCGTTTCTCTCCTCCACGTTCACTGACGGATCTGTCAGATGGCGGTGGAGGAGCCCTTGGTATATCCCTCGTAGTCGTCGTCTTTCCCTTACTCCGGTCGTTGTTTTCCCCCCTACTCCGGCGGCCACCTCTGCTTCCTCCTACCGTGCTGCCGCCAAAATCGTATGGGTAGTCAGTGCTAAGGGACTGCACGGGGACGCGCATCTCTCCCACAACGCAGCTCGTTCGAGTTCTTTACCCTTCTGCCTGACATTTTCTGACGAGGTTCTTCGTTCCTCAACAGAGAGACGAACGACCATATGGTGGCGCGACCAAAGCCGAGGTGGAGGGGAATCTCCTAGCCAGCGCAACGAAGTAACGCTCCACGTCTACGCACTGTGAAAGGCCTTATATACTCTTATATACATGCATCACTATTAAAGTATTAAGATTTAAATTATTCTTTTAAAATTACTTTAATTATGATCAAACACACATCATTGTATTCGGTTAAAATTATATCTTTACAACAACTTACATGATTATATTTTATTAAAAATATATATATATTAACCATTGAAATTTGATGTTCGACATGTGAGAAACAAATGTTGTCCAATGAAATTTGACTTTGTTTCATATTTCAAGTTCTAATTTTTATGAATTCTTTCGATGTTTTAGTCGTAGTTGGGAATAATGTTTTGTTTTGTGGGTATCCGTGTTGCAGACATGCAATTAATATACATTAATTGTAGTTGCACTTTTTTAATATCAAATGAACAAAATATTGAACTAAGTGATGAAACAATTGTATTTGGAATTTTCTAAAAGAGTAAATAACACCCTATTTTTTTAAAAATAAATAAATCGAATGCCTGAGTCATAGTATATATCGTCCGATGGATTTTATTACTTTTAGTCATACGGGAAGAGCTGCATGCTAGCCGTGCTAGGCTGCATAATGCAACCAGAAATTGCATGGAACTGGGCAGCAAACTAGCTAGTCATTAGCCCATGTATGTGCGTGCATTATCAGATGTGTTGTTGTTGATGTTGTTTGGGCTGTTTTTGCTTAGGTAAATGACTTTGACTTGGACTTGACCTACATATGTGGAAACTTAATGAGTGCGTGATGAGGTGTTGTTTGGTGGGTTTTCTTGCTAGGTAGCTTGCTATACCTATGTGATAGACTGATAGCATACTGACGTCCCGGCCTGGATCAAGTGTATGACACCACTATGGCTACAATTTTGCTATACCTCTTTGGCTCAATTTAAGTATCTCTGTCTCTCTCATGGCATCTAGAGAGCGCTCTGTGAAGCAACTTCAGGAAGTTTCATCCCTAACTAAAATACTCACAATTTCACTCCGTAAGTATACAGAGAAAAAGAACAATAAAGAGGTTTCTCTGACAAGCATTATTTCAGTTAGCCCCCTTGAATTCTTAATGCTCCCCTCCGTATAAAGAGGATGCATGCACTTAAAAAAAAAATTCAAGAGTTATAACTTTTAAGTAACAACTACTCCCTCCAGGTTGATAATACTCGTCATTTTTTACAAGAGCACGGTCTATAAAAAGTAACTTTGACAACTATTTTCTATTGTAATATATATAGAAATATCAACAAATATATGATTTTATTGAAGCATTTTTTAAATTAATCTACACATATGGTTTCCATTTTTTAAGATAAATATTTTAGAAATTATTTATAGTCAAAGATTTTAAAGTTTGACTTTACTCTTGTTCAAAACGATTAATATTATCGGCCCGGAGAGAGTAGCTAGATGAATACCCCCACCGTGTTGCTGAGGGAAATTAAGTTGTATAATATGTACAAATAATTAAGATGCAATATGATTGTTAAAACTAAAACAAATTGATATAATTTTGAGCTTAAAATAATTGAGATGAACTCACCATGTCCCCTATTGTTTTTTCTAGTAGGGAATGAGCTGAAACTAGTAGGGAAACAAGTTCCCTAGGCCTTTTCTTAGGGAAAACTTCCATGGGAAATTATTCGCCGGGAACTAGATGTGCCCTACGATTTCAATTGTAAAAGCGCAGGGAACGAAAAGGATCCCTAGGATTTGAAATGGTAGGGAACTTGGCTGACATGGGCTGTGTTTAGATCCAAAATTTGGATCCAAACTTCAGTCATTTTCCATCACATCAACCTGTCATACACACACAACTTTTCAATCACATCATCTCCTATTTCAATCAAAATCCAAACTTTGAATCTAACTAAACACAGCCATGGCATTGTATCCAGTATGTAAAGTAACTTCCCCTAGGTTTCTAAAACTGTAGGGATCTATTTGTTTAATATAAATTTCTTATTTGTTCCATATCACAATTATTTCCCTTCAAAATGTTATAATAGTAGGGATATTCGTTTATATGCAATATCTGAATATTAAATTAAATAGGCAATCCACTCAAATTTGAAATAATTAAATGGGTAATGTAGATCACTAATCTGAGAAACCAAATCAACCCAAGCTCACACAAATTTTCCATGAATAACCATTACTTTGATAAGTCACATGCCACATAACCAAATTCATGGAAAATAGAGTCATAGTTTCATAGAAATTCAATACATAAGAAGTCATAGCCTCCATCAGGTTCCAAAATAGAGGGCTTGCAGCTAGCTAATATGAAACAAAACTATCCAAGAACAAAGAAGCTGCATTCAACACTTGCATCAAGGTTCACACTTCAGTGCAATTCTTCCAAACATTCTAAAATCAAAATGGGCCAAGCTCTTCCAAAGGAGGGGAGTAGTTTCCACTGCACTGCCAGATGCATTAATATGCCCTCCAAACATGCCTAGAGAAATTCTGGCCAAAGTTTCTTCTGGATTATCTTCGCCAACTGCAATACCACCATTATTCTCCTCTCTAGCTGCAATCCCACCATGATTCTCTTCTCCGGCTCCAACAGTTGCAGTCCCAGCATGATTCTCTCCTTCAGCTCCAACAACTGAGCCACTGCTACGAGCCTATCCAACATAGAAATTTGAAAGCACAATTGGTGAAATTTAATGGTTTTCATGTAATTGTAACAAATGGTATTGAACAAAACATTGATTTGCAGTAGTAAGTATAGAATAAACTAGACGATGAGCATAAAGACCACTGAGACATTACACTATTAGTATCAATTGATAAATATGACACTGCTACACTTGAATGGTTGCATATGTATAGTAAACGACACTAAAATGACATTGAAATTGCTGGATATTGCAAGGTAAAAAAAATCTATCTCTAGGACACATCTGCAATATTAATAGAAACATGACCACATACATTCACCGTAGATTGATCTGCAAAATGATAAACTCCGTATGTAGGTGGTGGCGGCGGCGGCGGTGGATGTGGAATTGCAACAGGTAGAGGCATTCCAGTATGCTGGATAACACTCTTCAATTCAAATATTTAGCACACAAAATTAAAAACTAATGCTTTAGAATTATGCTAATAAAAATGATAGGTATATGACAGATTGCACCTCAAGAATAAGTTTTATAGTGTTATTGTAGCTGTCTTGGCCACTACTCCACTCCAGCACTCGTTGCGCATATTCCTTTGCTATACGAGCATCCTCGATCAGCCTTGCTCTTTCATGGTCATCTTCTTCTTGTCGTCGACGCTTGTTAGCTGTTGAAGATGTAGATCTTCTCTTGATCTCAGCCATGGCCTCACTATATATCATCAACCATCCCATTAAATGTTGCCCATTTTCCATGTGGTCTACCGCAAGAACATTCATATAAGGCCCTTGAGTCAACAGGGGAGTTCATCCAATCAAAGTCTGGACCATTCAACTCCGTTGCCTTGGTTTTATATCGCTCCTGTCCAGGTAACCATCAGTTTTTAAAATATTATACTGTAAATGTGGAAACTATTGAAAATTTCAGAAAATTACCAAGCATAAAGTGGCTTCTTCTGTGTTCAGTGTGTTAGTATCTTCAGGATTTGATCCCCTGTGTGTATGAACCCATGCCTCAATTGCAGATACTTCTCTCCTAGTTACCAAGCATGGTTTTATGAGAGAAGAAAGAAGAGATAATTTAAATCATAGATATATCATTCAAAGGCTAGAAATAATTAGGATGATGTGGTTTAATAAGAGAAGAAACAAAATCCTAGCAGAAACTAGGGAGAGTGGAGGACATGGGGCAAAGGCGACTGCAGTGCAAAAATCCTAGCGGAAACTAACAGGGGGAAGAGCCGAAGAGGATGATGCCGCCGGTGGTTTAGAGATGGGAGGAGATTGGAGGAGCTATCCATCTCCGCTTGTAGCAGCGGTGCGGTTGCCACAAAGAGATGGAGAGCAAGAGGGAGGGATAGAAGAGAGGGAGAGCAAGAGAGAGAGAGGGAGGGAGAGAAGGAGAATAGGAGATGTTTATTAGGGCCTGTTTAGATCCCCGGGCAAAATTTTTTTACCCTGTCACATCGAATGTTTGGACGTATGCATGGAGTATTAAATAATATAAAAAATAACTAATTATACATATTGTATGTAAATTGCGAGACGAATCTTTCAAGCCTAATTGCTTCATGATTTGACAATGTGGTGCTGCAGTAAACATTTGCTAATGATAGATTATTTAGACTTAATAAATTCGTTTCGCAGTTTACAGGCAGAATCTGTAATTTGTTTTGTTATTAGTCTACGTTTAATACTTTAAATGTATATCCGTATATTCGATGTGACACGCCAAAACTTTACACCAAAGATCTAAACACCCGCTTAGTTGTTTTTTCCCTATCGGATCGGCTTTCTTGATGGATGAGCTTACCGATTTACCTAAACAACCGACATTGGTCTTATATCAGTGATGATTTATTAAAAAACCGACACTGAATACATTAGTATCAGTTCATTTAAATAACTGGTGATGTTGACCTTATATTAGTGCCAGATATTTACTCTCGTACGCTCTCAGGGGGTGTGTAATCCCCTATCAGTATACCAGTTTTTTTGCTAGACGGCACTGAGCATCCTTGATGATGTACTCTGTAGGAGTATAATAATTCCAATGCATGAAAATTTATAGATTTCCAGCCAATTAGATGCTTAACAAGAGAAACTAAGTAATTAAAAATTCAAAATTTATGACTGAAAGGAAATTGTTTCCTTAACCATAATGATATATGTTTTAATTATATGCGAATAGAATACTCTTGTGTAAATGTTTTTTTATGTAAATCATTATTCACATGCTATACAATTTTTTTATGCGGCGTATGTGATTCTTCTTTTATATGCTACATAAAAATAGTTTTGGAAAAAAATGAAAGAAAATATTAAAATACACACAAACTTCTATATTTTGTAAGAAGTTTATGTACACAAAAACTTTTATATTTTTTTTTCTGAAAGTGGGTCAATCAATTGTTTGTCCTTGTATGACTTATTGGGTATTTTAGGTAGTTTTCTTGAAAAGTATCTACCCTAATAGTACATTGCAAAAGAATTTAACAAATTCTTTTTCTTTTGCGGGGAAGAATTTAACAAATTCAGTGTCATATTAATAAAGAGAAAAAGTTGATAGAAGAACTAAAGTAAACTCAGTGGCGTAGAATAAATTCTCTAATAATTATTGCTCTACAAGCATGTTCGATCAAGTACATAAGTACATGTAAGATAACCAAATCACCTACTTGGAATATATCTCAATCACATCAGTGCTCCTTTTGTAAAGCATGCAACCCCAACCCCCAACCCTTCTTCTTATTTGCAAAAATTATAATGGCATGGTTCCAATTTACCCTTGTTTTTAACCCGAAAACGTTCTCCCTTTTGAACGTAGTTGGAGGAAAAGCAACCTTCCGATCGATACGGCCAGCGAATCACCAACATCATCATCATGTGTTACCCCAAATCCATTTTTCCCTGACGGATTTTGTGATCAACCGACCGGAGAAATAAATGTCATGATTTTGGATGGTGGATAACTCTTGTGGTCATGAACTCATGATGTGACTCAACACACTCTAAGCAATAGGACTCGATCCCGTAAAATAAGATTTAGTTAAACTTTAAGATTTCGATGATCAATAATTACTTAAAAAGGAGATAGGGCGTTTGCAGAATTGTCTTCAAAGTACTACTCCGTATTCTATATCACAAACTTAAAGTAGTAGAGTTTCTAAAGTTATTCTACTACAAAACTAATGTTCAATATGATATCATAAATTAGTAAAACTTATGAACTTATTCTATGATAAAATCAAAACTGGATCTTGAACCATACGTGAGTTGACACATGATTGAAAAGAGCAACCCCTACTGCTTGTATGGATAATTCAGTGGTGATTCTAGAAAAAAAATAATCAAGTGCTCGATATACTTACAGTCTGTTTTCTTAAACTAATATAATGATTAATACGATATAAAATAGTTAAAAATAGAAGCACTATGTCCGATTTGTTCATGTCACCAGGTATTTGCACGTAGGAACACCACTGCGTTAAATAACTTCATAGTAACAAATGTCAACCATCCACTTTATGTTATTGACTTGAATCTTGGCAACGGGTCGTAGGTTTTTTTTTTCTCTCTGCAGATAATTAATGGAAGCAACAACCAGGCAGGCGTGGTAATTAGCCCAACATTAATTTTGACCTACAAATTGTGAGGGCCAGACCTATAAAGGGTTGTGCTAAAATTTAATAGTTTTTTGCGCTAAAAATATTTAAGGGTTGAGATGGGTTTTGAAAAGGCCCATGGCCTTAACCCATTACCACCCCTGCAACCAGGTCAGTCGTGGTTGATCATCGGTCCAGCATAGTCGTTTGATCACATATCAGTTTGCCAGATTGCTAGTCTCTACATGCATTGACCACCGCAATGTGTTATCGAATTTTTTTAAAAAAATAATACGATTTTAATGGAAAATCGTAAAAATATAGGCCGGTTAGGTGAAATCGCAAGTTTAGTACGTCGACAGGGTACCTATTGAATAACCGCAGTTCGACAGGGTACGGCAGTTCAACAGGTGATAACAAAATTTTAAAAAAGAGAATAATCACTTGTCGGTGACATGGGACCGGGGGTATCATGACTGGAGGCTTGAGGCAGACACAATCGCCCACGTGGCCTAGCACCCTCGGGGGACGTCGGGCCCGAGGGTGATGTGTGCGCCCACCTCTTGGTCTCCCCGAGGGGGGGGGGGGTCGGACCACTCCTGCCTCGCCCCCGAGGGCCGAGGCGCCCCGACCCCTCGCGTTTCTTCTCCACGTGTATGGGTTAGGTGAGCACAGCGGGGCTCACCTAACCGCATTTATTGCGCCTTGGCTAAGCGTGTCACGCCGCACGAAGTGTAGTGCAGTGCACTCGATTATCCGGTCTGTGACCAGTCACAGACCGGTCAAATCGCGGGTTAGGTGGCGACAGGCGGTCTGGCGCACGCTTCGCCCCATCCCGTCAAGACGAAAGCTTCTAGGCACTCGTCCCCGGCTGGAGCTAGCGTGTTACATCCCAGAGATGACACGTTAGCCCCGATCGATATATGCCAGGCTTCATCCTAACCATTACAAGCAAGATGTTGTTTGAAGAAGGGCAAACATGCACGTTGCTAAGCCGACGCGTGGTGGACAAGAATGACCGATTTGTGACCGGTCTGACACTGCTCATGTCGTCAGCACACAGCCACTTTCCCACGATGTGCCCGCCTCAGGCAGAAGTGGAGGTAGGTGTGTGCCGTCCCGTCAGGAGGGTGTTCGGAGGATGACCGTGCAAATCTCCGTCCATTTATGAAGAGAAGAAAAGTCCAGTTTGGAAAGGGAGGGGTGCATGTGGTATCCCCTTGAAGTATAAAAGGAGGACCTTGCCCATAGAGAAGGAGGATGATCTTTTCCAGATTCGGAACCTAGAGCAAGGGAGAGGTTAGCTGACACTTTGTAGCTCCTTCATACACAGATCCACCAAAACACAGGAGTAGGGTATTACGCTTCTCAGCGGCCTGAACCTGTATACATCGCTTGAGTTTCATGCTCTTTTGAGAGGTCGCGATCTTCCCACACACACGGAGAGCTTGAGATCTCACCCTGAGCCCCCGGCCGAACCGGCAAAGGGGGGCCTGTGCGGTCTCCCGGTGAGGAGCACCGCGCTCCGTCATCTGGCGCGCCAGGTAGGGGGCTCAGCGTGTGTTTTCTGAGCTCTCGCACTTTTCCGTGTGCGTCAAGTTTTTCTTGATCAGCCTCATGGCTGAGCAAGCAAAGGCGCCCGACCTCTCTCCCAGTGTGAGTGGCGACGACGGGGAGCCGAACCCACGCCGTCGAGCTCGTACTCCACCGCCCCCTCCACGCCAAAGTCCTAAGCAGGGGGAGGCGCTCGAAAGGGTCGAAAGATCCGCGGCTTCACCGATCGCGGGCGATGGGGGAGAACGGCGAGATGGGGACCGTCGCCTCCTCGTCTACGGCGACGGCAGCACGCCCCAGGGCGCGCTCCAAGCTGCGGGCGCGCTCTTACGCCACCCGCCTGTCGTTCCTGACCCGGAGTCTCCAGCCCAACGATGGCTGGACGATGTGGCCAAATTGGTCATGACGGCACGGCAGCGCCTAGATGCTGGTGGGCGGTCCTCCGCCACCAAGGCCTCTGGTGCTGCTACCACCGGCTCCGCATCGTCAAGACGAAGGGCACGACGAGCGGCAGCCGCTGTTCGCCGTTCGGCTGCCACTCCTTCGTCGACTCCTTCGACCCGGGAAGATCTGCGTGGGGAGCAGGACGCCCGCGCCAGCATCGAGCGCCGGCGTAATGACCGAAGTGCTGCCCACGCAACGGAGGGCGCTTCCTCGTCCAGAGTGTCACCTCGACACGGACGTGGGAATCAGCCCT